AATCAAAACAATTGGAAGGATATTTTTTCATTAAAATTATATACAACTGGGATTACAAAATAACGATCCAATTTACCGATGATCTACTGTCGATTCTACTTCTACTTCTTATTCTTCTTATTTTGCTCTCTCTCTCTCTCTCTCAGTTCCACAAGACAACTTTAGATCGATCAACTTCTAAACACCGTTAATGCCTCTGAAAGGTCTTTCCCTGGTTAAAATCCTCGCTTCCTAGATGAGATTTATCTCAATCAACAATCTTAAATTCTGCTTAGATCAAGCTAAACGCGTCAAGTATAGACATTGATGATTATTTTTCGATTTCAAGTATATTTTTGTAATTAGACATTTCTCATTAGAAATGAGACATTATATAAAAGTGCTTTTAATTCAAAAATAAAAAAAAATGCTACTTAGTAGAAACTTGTTTTTCTAGAAGGAAGCAAGAATTCTCTGGATAAACAAAAAAAAAAAAAAAAAGTAATACCTAACGGAAACCGTGCCGTTTATTAACACCATTTGGACTTATTAACACCGACATTCATGTAACAGGAATTCCTAAAGGAAAAACGTAGAATAATCTATAACAGAGAGTACATAGTATACAGTTGTTAGAAAGTCAAATACCACCGAAACATGCTTTGTAATCCTCTCTTTCTTCTCATAAGCATATTCAGGACGTTCTTATGTTTGAAATAATAGAGCTTGAAAAAATCAAATGATTTACATTGCAATGATATTTATTCATTTTTTTCTTATGTTTCACATTTTAAAAAATTTTTAATATCATTTTTTTACGGTGGTAAAAAAACCATTTTTTATGGTTTTTAATAAATTTTTTTTGTGGTTATTAATTATTGTAGTTAATTTTTGGTACTAATTTTCGATATTGAATTGATACCAAAATGTGTGATGCAACTTTTTGATCCGTTTTATAGGATCATTTTGATACCTTTATATGTTTGGTACCAAATTTCACTTTAACTATATATGGTATCAATATTCTGTTTGGTACCAATTTAAAAATGTTAGTGAACATTTACGATACCAAGTTCTAAGCAATTTGGTATCACTTGTTAATCTTGGTACCAATTTTCTATGAATAGAATTTTTTTGGTACTAGTTGCTACAATTTTTTGGTATTTGTGTTTGGTATTTAAAAACATTGGCGAACATTTACGTTGCCAAAAGTTCTTTGCAATTACAGTTCATCAAACTTAGTACCAATTTTCTATAAAGTAGAATTTACTTGGTACCAGTTGTTACAGTTTTTGATATTTATGTTTGGTACCAATTTAAAAATGTTGTTACCATTTACGATACCAAGTTCTAAGTAATTTGGTACCATTTGTTCATTTTGGTACCAATTTTTTATAAATAGAATTTTTTGGTACCAGTTATTACAATTTTTTGTATTTATGTTTGGTACCAATTTAAAAATCTTAGTAGCACTTACGACACCAAGTTCTAAGTAATTTGGTACCATTTGTTCTTCTGTTACCAATTTTTTATAAATAGAATTTTTTTTGGTACCAGTTATTACAATTTTTGGTATTTATGTTTGGTACTAATTTTAAAATGTTTATTAACACTTATGATACCAAGTTCTAAGTAATTTGGTACCTTTCGCCAATCTTTATGTTTGGTACCAATTTAAAAATGTTGGTACCATTTACACGGAGAGACCGCCGGTTGGAAAAATTACTAAAAAGATTTACAAGTAGCGGAAATAAGGTTACTTTGTCATATATTGCTGTAGGAAATCGAAAATTCTATTAGCAGCATACTTAATAAAACCTGTATACTATAGTAAAATTGCACACAAATTCGAATAGAAATTACTATAGTCTACAGCAATGTTTGACAATGTAACCTTATTTCCGCTACTTGTAAATTTTTTTAGTAATTTTTCTAACCGGCGGTCTCTCCGTGTACGATACCAAGTTCTAAGCAATTTGGTATCACTCGTTAATCTTAGTCCCAATTTTCTATAAATAGAATTTTTTTGGTACCAATTATTCCAATTTTTTGGTATTTATGTTTAGTATTTAAAAACATTGATGAACATGTCAGAATTTGTTTGGTACCAATATGATAAAAATATTAATACAACTATACAGTTAATAATAATGATTTAAATATGAAAGTTAAATTTAGAAACGAAACAATTCCCACGTTCTATTCATATAGTAAAAGAAAAAAGAAAAGGCGTGAATGAAATAGGAAAACTAAAAATGATATCCTGATAGAAAAGACAAGTAAACATAAAAGAAGCAACATGTTTTTGTAATTAAAAAAAAAAAAAAAAAAAAAAAAAGGAAAAGAAGGATAAAAGAGTGTTTCCTGGATTCAGGATGGATCTGCCCTCGCCGAGACTGTGGCTAGCAACTATGAAGGCAACTTGGTAGAATTAACTGTACATCCTTTTATGCGCCGACTGGGAATGCAAGACGATACCATCCCACGAAAATGACGTGCTGCGTTTGTACACAGAGAGAAAAAGAGAGAGAGAGAGAAAGAGAGCTTCCAGCGCATATATAGCACTCTCTTTGGGTGCTATGTGTGATCTCGACGAAGCTGTTGAGCTCAGGCAGGCGTGCGATCGCGTCATTCATTCACCTGCGTGAATGTGCCTCGTTCCCCTTTACCCCGCATGCGCGCGAATCTGCTCTGATCTATTGTTCATCGTAAATCCTTCCTGGACGCGGAAGAAACTACAAAACTAGGACCTCCTTTTTTTATATTATTATTATTATTATTATTATTATTCCACTCTCGCGGAATGTGAATCTCTCGGAGCAGGTCATTCATTCAGGATCAAACCAAAGTAGAGAGAGAGAGAGAGCATCTCCCCCCTCTTTACTTTTCGTTCTAAACCTTGAGACCTTTCTAAAGACACAAGAGAGGACAGAAGCTCCTTTACCTTTACACCATCATATAGAAACGAATCGACTTGGATCAAGAGTGGGAAAGAGAGAGAGAGAGAGAGAGAGAGAGAGAGAGAGAGAGAGAGAGAGAGAGAGAGAGAGAGAGAGAGAGAGAGAGAGAGAGAGAGAGAGAGAGAGAGAGAGAGAGAGAGAGAGAGAGAGAGAGAGAGAAAATCAGGAATGCCAGTGCAATATGTGATCTTACCAGCCAGCCGAGTACGTACGATCGAGCCGTTCATTCACCTGCTACTTCCCTTCTTACACCTTCCACCCGCTGTTCTTTCCTTCCAGTTCTTCTCACTCTTCATCACGGGAATAATTTTTTCTTCTCTCTTTCTGTTGCCTTAACTTTTTTTTTTCCCCCTCCTTTTCAGTCTGCATGGCAGTACCCATTACTTCTCGTAGATCACGCTCGTGATCCATGAGGTCGTAAAAGATCGTTCAGGCATCCAAGAAGCTTGATCGAAACAAGACAAAACTGTTTGCTGTATATCAAAAACGATCAGAATACCTTTTTTGATCACAAAAACAAAAAAAAATTTATAAACTCATTTACAATATTGTTCCAATCAATGAATTTTGGAATAGGAAAAAATATCTAATAACAAGGAAAAACAAAATTTATTGTAGCAATCACAACTACAATTCGAGAATAGAATTTGTGGTCGTTGCTAAGGAAAAAAAATTCTTAGCATCGGTTGCTATGGTAACGGTTGTCATGGAAGCGGTTGCTATGGTAATAGTTGTCATAGAAGCGGTTGCTATGGTAATGGTTGTCATGGAAACAGTTGCCGTGCGGTAACGGTTGTCATGGGAAACGGTTGCTATGGACACGGTTACTATGATAATTGTTACCATGGCGGTTGTCATGGAAGCGGTTGCTATGGTAATAGTTGTTATAGAAACGGTTGCTATGGTAATGGTTGTCATGGAAACAGTTGCCGTGGTAACGGTTGTCAGGGAAACGGTTGCCATGATAATTGTTACCATGGTAACCATACAAATTTAAGACGGACGGACGGACGCCAAAAGCTTTTGGGCCTGAGCCACGAAACCCTAAAAACTGCTGTAAACAAAGAAAGTACTGCTACCAACAAGAACGTTTGGGAAAAAATCACAAAACAATCTGTGTTTTTCACAAAAAATTTGTTTTTGTTCACAAGTACGATTTGTGTATTTCCCAAAACCATCTGTTTTGTAAAGACTACAACACTGCAGTTTGTAGATAACACATAATATCCTGTAGATAACACAAGAAATTTTTTTCTCGTGAAGAATCATAAGCTGATTATAGAGTAAAATTAAATTTTTAACAATAAAAAAGAATCAAAGAAAAGGAAATGGAAGAGAGAGAGAGACAACAATTAACAAGGTATATAGAAGAGGAACAAGATGTTGACACACACACACATATAAGCCTCGTCTCTCGCGGGAGTTGAATGAGTTGCGCGCTTGATGCTTGGGGGAAAAATTTCAAGAATGTGGAAGCTGTCAACCCAGCTTTTAAGAACTCACTGGATTCGAAGAAGTGTATATGTTGCGAGCATTCGCTCGGCCCTGTAGGTAGAAAACTTGTCTTTATCTTGTCGTGTATGCGAGCAAAAGTTGCAGCTCCAACTTTGCGTCTTTATGGTATTTTATACTCTCTGCAACGATATTTGTCTAGGCTATATAAATGCTTCGCGGCAAGCTTCTCGTGTTAAATATTTTTATTTCACGTCACATGTTCAACTGACTTAACAAATTCCTTTGAATAGAAACAACTGTTCTTCTGCCGCGTTACATTAGCTTTACATTTCAATGAAGCCAAAGAAATTCATTAATCCTATAGCGACACTTTTCTCTTTTTCTCTATGGACACATTCTCTCAAATTTTTTTTTTTCAATTTATATTCAATAATATTAATACAAATTTGTACTTTTCTTTATATTATTTTTATAATAATTATCATTATTATTACTACTACTATAAAAATATATATTTAATTAGTTATACAAAATCATAATTTTAAATTAGAAACTTATGGTTCAGTAAAAATTAATCTAAAAATGTAAATTTCTTTTTTATTGCAGAAATTTAGCAATTGGAATTGGTATACAAAATTTCCCCGAAGGTTTAGCGGTGTCGTTGCCCCTTCAGGCATCGGGTGTGAGTACTTTAAAAAGTTTCTGGTACGGACAATTGTCAGGGATGGTGGAACCCATTGCCGGTATCCTTGGGGCTGTTGGAGTCTCACTCGCCGCCCCTACTTTGCCTTATGCTCTGGCTTTCGCCGCAGGTGCCATGATTTACGTCGTTATCGATGACATCATTCCGGAAGCACAACAAAGGTTTGGCAAATACCATTATCTTTCCATTATATAATATTAATTATTTCAAAATTGTCAAATTTCACAAAAAACAAAAAATTATAATTTTTGTATTATTATTCCTTTTTTTCGCGTTTAATATATATATATATATATATATAATTCCACCTTATGAAAATAATGATCTGCTTTCTAAATTCTGATTCCGGTTTCACTCCCCTATTTCTAACATCTCTTTATTATTTGTGCATATGCTTTTTTAATCTGTCCATCCTTCTTTCGATTTTGTTCCCTTTCCTCTTCTTCTTTTTTTTTTGCCTTGTTCTCGCTATATATGTATGTATGTATATACAGCTCCGAGAAGTCCGCATGTATTGCAATTGCATTCACTTCCGTCTCAAGTTTCCCCTTGGATTTAATAAAGAACGAATTAGAGTTTGTGAAAAGGTGCGGAATCAGAAGGGCGAAAGATGCTTAGTAGACAGCATAATGCTCTCTCTTATATTTTTCAAGAAAAAAAAAAAAAAAAGAATCGTACCCTTCTTTCCATAACCGTGACCTTGGACTCACAAATTGCGAACTCTTTTTCGACAAAATAATATTCAAATTTTGCCAAAATTAATCATAACTACTCTTTAAATCTGAATTAGTAAAAATGTTTACTAATTTGAATTACAGTGTCACACTTTTCGCTTCTGAATTAGTAAAATTTTACTAATTTTTAGTACTAATAATTAGTAAAATTTTACTAATTCAGAAGCAAAAATTGAGTCACTAATTCAGATTTAGTGAGTAACAATTAATTAATTATTAAATAATAAAAAATTTAGGAATGAAAAAATAATTTGTTTTTGTACAGAGAAAAAGATTTTAAAAAATAATAAAAATTTTTTTTTTTTTTTGCAATTTCAAAGATTTGGTTACAATTGATAAAAAAAAAAAAACAGAATAGCGAATAAATAAATTAAATGGCTAATTGTTTGGAAAAGAAGAAATTTAGTGGAGAATTTGCAATTTGTGAATAACTTTAATACATATTTTATAAATGGGATTTCAAAGGCGATTATCACATAGAGAGGCGCGTAATTCCAGTGCCGTAGTTAGCAACAAACGGACGCAGCGAATTTCTTTCCCAGGCCCCGCTAGACGCGCATTGTCATTATAATTGGCTTCTTTTGTATTTCGCGTGCGATCTAACCGCTCAGCCCGGTCCCCAGAAAAGTAGCTCCTGAGATACTTGGTCGCGCTACGCTCCCTCGGGAACCCCTCCGGAAAATACAAAAGTGAAAACAGATCCCTCTTCCAGGAAACAGTTGCAGGTCAAACGCCCTATATCAATCGATTTATAATATACAATTCATGTATAGTCTTCTCTCTCTCTTTTTTTCCCCCCTTCAATGGACCAATATCTTGCGAAGGTGTATGTTAATGCGCATTTGGACAATGATCCTTTATTCCAAGTTTTACTTGTGTGCCAAAGGATATCAAAAAAAAAAAAAAAGGGGGGGAAAAAAGTGGACCATTTCAATAAATCATTATCAAAATCAGATAAACGAGAATCAATTCGCTATTTATTCGCATTTTTGGAGTTATGATTTTTTTTCACATTTGTTTTTCAATTGTTTCATTAAATTATATATATTGTTTTATTTTTTTTAAGGGCTTTTTAGTGTTTCATGGCTCAGGACCGAAAGCCTTATAATTTCGCTTTGGTTTCCGTCCGTCCGTCCGTCCGTCATAGACTCGTACGGTTGTCATGGTAACAGTTACCATAGCAACCGTTTCCATGACAATCGCTTCCATAGCAACCGTTACCATGACCGTTTTTCCCTTAGTAACCGTAGCTAAGAATTTTTTTCCCTTAACAACGGTTGCTAAGAAAACGGTTTAAAATTCAAACTCTCTAAATATGAATCAGTGAAAAAGTCACTGGGTCTCAAATCAGTCGCTAAATTCTAGCTATCTGAATCAGTGGTTTTCACTGACATTTCACTGGATAATCAAATACTTTGACTGAAAATCAGTGAAATGTTATACTGATTCAAATAGATAAAATTTATAGCGACTTTTTTGAGACCAGTGACTTTTTCACTGATTCAAATTTAGAGAGAACAGAACTTTTAATAAAAAAAAATTTCAATTTTCATGAAAGTTTTGTTTATGCCTTAAATAACCATTCTTCAGTTTTAAGATTATGTTTGGGCCACCATTGTCCTTAAATTATTTCTTTAAATGAGATTTTTAAATATGGGTGCAAAATTCGCGTTCTTGCTTGAATGATGAGACGATTGTTACCTTTTGATAAAAGAATAGAAATTTTTCTTTTGGTCTTATAATAAATACCAAAAAGAAGGTATATATTTATCGTGTGGATATGATTGATGCGGTAGAACGCCCACTGGAATACAACGGCCACATTTCACCGGTCGTTTAAATTGATGGCCGTATATAATTTACAAAATCAACAAACCGTGACGTGCAATACCGGACCAGTTTGTGCCTGCTTAATCTCTAATTATGCCGCTAAAACCCTTTTATTTCTCGCCATTCTGAGTCTTTGCCCTCGTCTCCATGACGAGCTTCCTTGCTACTATATGCTGCATCTATTTCAACTTCCTTCATCCCCCATGTCCTCGCTTCTTCATCCTCAATTTTCTTTTATGACATTATAATAGTATAAATTTTGATTTTTTTTTTTAATCCAACAACCATTAAACAATCATTTTAAATCTCAATTGTTTCGAATTGTAAAATTTGGAGGAAATTAAAAAAAAATTTTTTAGAGAATTAAATCAAGAAATTTTTTTTTTTTTTGAAACAGTGGAAATGGCAAAGTTGCCAGTTGGAGTGCAGTCGTTGGATTTCTTGTAATGATGTCTCTGGACGTTGGATTAGGCTAAGAAATTTTTCTAAAAATTCATTTTGTATACGATCGTTGTTATTTCAGTCAACTGGATAGCAAACAAAAAAAAAAAATTACGATAACGATGTCGACTGATAGAATATAAAGTTCAATTCCGATATCAGTATTTTGTTTGCGTGTTGATGAAAGAATGAATATCGAGCGACATTTTTTTTTTTTTTTTTGACGAAATCTAATGTTTAAAATAAGAAAATTTTTCAAGCAAAAGAAAAAAAATAGTTTTATTAATTAATTCTTCCGAAATTTGATTTATCAATTTTTCATGTGCAGAGTCAAGATCATTGATAAAATATACTTTTAATATAGAAAAATACATTGTTTTTTGTTATTTAAATAGTAAAATATTCTTTCTATTATAATAATTACAAATTTTATTTCCTTAAAATTTTTTTAAATTATTCAAAAAATAATAATTTGACAAAAAAGGAACTTTTTTTTACCAAATTACCAAATTTTACCAAATTATAAATTATATTTTAATCGATAATTTTTAAGATTTAACGTTTCAAAAAAAAAATGGTAAATTCAGTATTTTAAAAAAAAAATTTTTTAAAGCAATTTGGAATATTTTTTATTATCATAATCTTCTAAAACCATATTTTAGTAAATATATATGTGAAATGAAGACCAAATATAGAATTAAAATATAGATATATACATAATAAATATATTGTAAGATAAATATTAATGCTTTGTGTGATTGTTATGTTTGTAAATGCTACTTTATTGAAAGTGATAGAAATATATATTTTATTTACAAAACAAAAAAAAAAAGAAAATATGCTCAATGATTATTGAAGAAGTAATCTTGACGCTGCACATTTATCATTTAAAGTGTGTAAAATGTATATGAAAATATATATATTTGTAGTGTATATACGCAATTTTGACAAGAACTGGTCTGTACTTAATAAGAATTTCTATATATAACTCTTTTTGCAATTACAAAACGGATGTCTAATAAAATAAAGAAATTATGCTCGTCCATCGAGTTCCGTTTTCAATTATAGCGCTACGCAAAATTGAAAAAAAAAAAAAAATGATTAAAAACGAGAAATAGAATTTTGAATCTTCTTTTATTCAACACTGAAAGAAATTGATTAGAAAATTTTTTTTTTACTTAATCATAGAAAATGAAATATTAAATTAAAAATCAAATAAATATTTAAACTAATTTTGACATAAGTTTTAAATAATAAGTAATCTAAGCTATTCAAGTATAAAATAAAAATAATTAACAATAATTAATAATAATAAATTTCTTTCAGTGTTCCCTTTTTTTTAAGGAAAGATAAAGTGCAATTTACTAGTAACACTACAAAAATTTTTGTCAATATATTCTTCTTCCACTTTTTATCGAGAATTTTGTAAAGAAGAAAACAAATTTTCGACAATTTTTGAAAAATGCTTTTGCAGTATAATAATAAAAAAGCACTTTTTAATAGATACAATTTAATTTTTGAATTATGTTTTTAGAGAAAGATATTTTCAACAAAAAAAAAAAAAAAGAACATAATTTAAAAACTTGTATAAACTAGAAAAATTGTTTTGTATCTGATTGGTTTATATTAAACCAATTTTCAAGATAATTACAGCTGTGAAAAAAATTACAGTATAATATAGTATATAATAGTGTCTTTTGCAAAGACAATTAAACAGATGTCAGTAATTTTGGAAAAAAACAAATTGCAAAATAATAATTAATTATTAAATCAAAAAAATGAATTTTTCATTGATTTAATTGTTTTTATTTTTTATTATTATTATATAGATATTTAGAAGCCTAATTATTAATTTTGCTAGAAATAAATTCAATCTAAAAATCAATTATTTTTTTGATCAGTGGAATATTTAATACGTCAATTATTATCTATTATATTTTCATTATAGGATCATATTTTTGATATTAATAAATTTGTTTTCTTTGCACAAGACAATTCTAAAGAAATTTGAATAATGTTTTTATGTAAATAACTTCATAAAACAAAATTGTCATTTTTAATATAGAATTTAAAAATCTGTATGATAATATGAATCTATAAAAATTCATCAATTGAAATAATATCCATGTATGAGAATGCAATTATAAAATTAAATAAAACTATTTTTTGCCAAGTAATTTTTTTAATTTGTCTCTTTTTTTACATTCCTTATGCAAATGTTTTTCGGAAAATTTTTTAATCCTTTCATTTAATAGAATTTGATATTAATATTTTTCGCAAAGAAACTGACAAAAAAAAAAAAAAAAAAAAGAAAATCATTTTAAAAATTATACAAAAGAAAAATAATCCTAATTGAAAAGAATATAGTTCAATTAAATTAAATTCTAATCAAAAGAAATCGGAGATAAAAATTCATTTAACAAATAGAAAACAAATTTTAATTAGTGAAAAGTGCAGTAAAAGCTAATGTTGAACAAATATAATGATGAAAAAAAAGGAGAAAGAAATGAGAGAGAGAGAGAAGCTTCCGGTAGCAGATGACATCACATTGCTTTTGTAAGTTGATTCAAAGGTAAGTTTTAAGGGATGTCCGGAAGGGCGACTAAAAGGGGAAGCTTATTCCGACAAGAACAAGAAGGGAAGTGGAGAGGGGGAGATAAAGCGACTGAAAAGCCACACACTTCACTAAGAGTTCTCCCTGCAGCAGTCTTACGATGCACCTCGAATTGTTCGTATGTCTATATATATACACGTGTTTTCGAATTCAAGTCGATTTAATCGGTTTTAATAATATAACAATAATAATAATAATAATAATAATAATAATAATAATAATAATAATAGTAATAATAATAATTATTATTATTATTATTATCTACTATAGTCATATTTATGCGTTTTTCTGATAACTGTGATTTAAATGATAACTAATGCAAAGTAATAATAATTACAAAATAAGATAAAAAAAAAATAATAATTGTCAGAAATATTGTTGAATTGATGAATTTTAATTAATTTACCCTACTTTGGCATTTATCAGATTTATTCTCCCTGTGTGGGAGACTTGTGGGTGTCAAGTCGGGGGGGAGGGGGTGATACTGTTTTCCGAGTGATGTGGGTGTAACGCGAATAGCGGAAAAAAATTTTTTTTCTTTTATTAAGAAAGGTCAATCGATTTTTTTTTTTTTTTTTTTTTGTGAAACATCAAACAATTTTTCGTAATAATAAGAATAATATTTTTTTTTTTATTTAAGTAGGTAATAATAAAGGCATTCATGGAATATTTTTTATTATTCTTTATTACTATTTAATATTATTATTATTATTTAATATTTTATTTTAGTTTTATTTGCATTGAAATTTCAAATTAATTATTTCAATTATTTATTTAATGTTGTAAATTAATTTCACAATAATTGTTTATTAAAATGTGAATTTTTGAAAATATTTTATATTTTTAAGTGGAAAATAATATTTCGATTAATCTGAAAAAAAAGTTCTTCAGCTTCTTTTATGAATTATTCTCATATAATACATATAATTACACTTAGTTGACACAATGGGTACACCGAAGAAACGTTTGCATTTATATGGCTGCTATATCAATAACGAGTGACAGTTACTGGTTGACAGGTCTTATACACATTTTACATATATATATATATCTAAATTTTTAAAAATATTCACCCCTAAAAATAAGATTTTTCAAAAAACTTCAATTGTTAATTTATAATTTTTTTTAGAAATATTTTTTTCCTTCTTTATTCGAAATTTTTGAATTAAAAAGTAATTGAAAAAATTTCTTTTTCGATAATGTTGTTTTGTTTTTTTAATAGAAAACTATACATATTGATGTGACAAAAATATTTGAATATTGTATATATATATATATATATATATATAAATCTATACCTCTTTCTATTTTTCCCCTGTGGCCAACGAACTTTCGTTGAAACGTAATCAACGACCTCGAGCGTAAACCGGAAGTCGTAGGAAGCAGTCAATTGCATGACCAGTATTCTATACCCATATTTAAGAAAGGGAAAAAGATTTTTTTCTAATTTTATTCTCTGATTTGGAAATCGTTATTTAAAAGTTTTACTTTTTCTATTTTTTTTTTTTTTTTTATAATTTTTTTTACATCTTTTTGGCATCATATTATTTATTAGCGCGAAAAATTAAAGATCGAAATTGCCTTGGAAATTTGAAGCCTACTATTAAATTGCTTACAGAAGTAAAGTTGTTTTTTGCAAAAAAAGTATGGAAAATAAAATTATAAAGTAGGAATGAAGTTTAAGAAATTGAAGTCGTCTATATAAGACGTAAAACTAGCTGCCATAAATTTTTTTTCATTTTCAAGAAAAGCCAATTTTCTCCTTCATGCAAAGTTGGAAAAAGGTATATAGTGAAATCGGTGGAGATTCCTTTTTTGGAAAAAAAAGAAATCTTTACAACTCGCAAAACACTCAAAAATCCATACAGTGTGCTTTTGGGAATGGATCTTTCATTCAAGAAAAGAAGAAATAAGAAAAGAGGGCGTGAAATTATGAAAGAAAACTTTCTGCTTTTTTAAGTGAGTAAAATATTTAAACTATTACAGTTATTTTCACTCTAGAAAGAATTAAATAATGTTTGCATTTAATTGTTTTTCATTCAAATCAAGGATTTTTCATTTGATTAATTAATAATTATTCATATTCATTAGAGAATTTCCTAATAATAATTACTGTTTAATTAGTAATTAATGTTTAGTTAGTTATTAATTTATGATTAATTAATGATTACTGATTTGCAATGTTTTTTTAATTATTAATAGTTTCTTAATTTTTTTATAATAATTGTAATAATTTATTATGAAAAAAAAGGAAAACACGAAATATCTGAAAATGTATATTATGATACTTTAGTACATTTTCTAGATCAAAAGAAAGATTGAAGGAATTTCGCTTCTCTTACTATATACTATTGACGTCATTCACTTTTTCTCACCGCTTTTTTTTTTTCTCATCAAACCATTAAAAAAAATCAATATACTTGTCGCAAATAAAGAAAAAGTAATGCAAAATATATTTGACGTTATTTCAATCTAAATATTATCTAAATAGTTAATTTATTAAGTATATTAGAAATTTTAATTAGTATTTAAAATTTTTTTTGAAAAAATTAAATAACATTATTTTGTTTTGTATCAAATATAAATATACTACTGAGAAATTGTCAGGAATCTTTTCGGACAGTGTATAGGTCGAAAGAACAACGGCTTTCAAGAAACGGTATTCGCTCCTGTTATGCCAAACGACATTCTTTCTATCATGAAACAAATGTCGAGGAACTTACGACACGGCGCAAGATTTCTTTGTCATTGAGCGGAAAATATACATCGTTCATTCAATTTTTGTTCGCATATATATATATATATATATATATATATATATATATATATATATATATAAAATTTAAATATTTAACAGCACAATATCAAATTGGACGTCGAATTTTCAAAATTCAAAATGGCGAATCCAATATGGTGGACTTTTTTTGTAAAAATTATTAGATTCTTACGAAATTTGTTATACCCAACCAAAAATTTCAGTATTATACAAGAGTTAACTACTGGCGCAGTACTGGTTCAGTATTGGTTGCCGAGGCTGGGCAGACTGTACTGAACCAGTACTGGTATTTTCATTGTATCAGTACTGGTGCAGTACCACCCTTCCAGTATTGGCAAACCATTACTGAGTCGATATTGAGCCAGTACAGGCTAAAATAGATTTTCTTTTTGATTAATACTAGTTTACAAAAAGGTCCAAGAGTGAACCTGATGAATCTTTTTGTTT